AGTTGCTGAGGCTGAGAAACTTTTAAAGGTCAAGAGCCAATTTTTAGCCATCCATCTGACTTAGAACCCTTTCTTCCATGTTCCTTGTACCTTGTGTTAACATTCTCATCAGTGACCTCAGAGGAGGCTTCTTGATTTGTAGAAATCAAGGAAACAGGAAATACTTATTGAAATGAATACATATATGTGTGTGTGTACACACACACACACACACACACACACACACACACACACATTTTAGAAAGGTTTTTGACTAAACTTTTTGTTTTTTTTGTGGTGCTGAAAACTGAACCCAGGGCCTCAAGTCTCTACACTCAGCTATACCCAGCCCTTGGCTAAACTTTTTTAAATCTGATTTTAGGATTAAAGAAAAAAATACTGTTTTTAAAAAATATTAATTTAGTAGTACTGGGGTTTGAACTCAATGCCTTATGCTTGCTAGGCAGCCACTCTAATATTTGATCCATGCACCATCCCCAAAATACTGTTCTCCATTCATTCTTACCTTACAGACATATTAGGAAATCCTAGGATGCTAGTTCTTTGCTTTTATCTAAGCTTTTTTTTTTCTTTTAATTTTTACTTACTTATTTTTGGCAGTACTGGGGTTTGAACTCAGGGCCTCATGCTTGCTAGGCAGGCGCTCTACCACTTGAGCCCTAAGCTTTAAAAAATGTTTTGGTTATAAGTTACTGAAAAAAAAAATAGGTTATTTGGGTTTCTTGTAGAACCCAAAGATAGGAAGGCACCTGGGTCTTAGGCACAAAGCAGAAACTTTAAAGCCTGATTCTTTCCAGTTCTCATCCATGCCTTTCTCACTGTACTACTTCAGACTTCTTTCCCTCTGTAGACCTGATTTCTGTTTCTTAGTCTGCATGGTAGCCAGAAAAAGACCTACTCAACTTTCTTAGTGTTAAGATCAAATTGTTAGGGATAGGATTCACTGGCCCCCTGTGAGTTACATGCTCACCCTAGGCCCTAGTCTCATAATACTAAATGAGGCAACTCCCACTGGAGCCATTTGGATAGAAAGAAAGTAAATATGAGTCCCAGAATGTGGTTGCCAAATGAACAACACCCAGGGCAGCTCTCAATAACCTAAGTACATATAAGAATGAAGAGAGACCAGTCTCTGGTGAATTAAGCCCATAATCCTAGCTATTTGGGAGGCTAAGATTGGGAGGATCGCAGTTTGAGGTCAGTCTGGGCAAATAGTACTGGGGGTGTGACTCAAGCGTTTTACAACACCTGCTTTGTGAGCACAAAGCCCTGTATTCAAACCCCAGTCCCAGCCAAAAAAAAATAAATAAATGAAGATAGTAGGCTGCTCTTACTCTCTTTCACTTTTCAGTTCAGTAAGCTGCAAAAGAAGAATGGCAAGGAGCCTAGTTCTAGATTTTACATTTTACTTCATTTTGTCTTTATTATAACCATTTATATATTGACTACTTAATCACTGTTCATAGATTCTTTAAAGGAATTCTTTTGTTCTATTTTGTTCGACTATGTTAACCTAAGAATAGGAGGTCAAAGCTCTGAGGTGAAGACCCCATTTTAATTTATTTTTATTTTTTGCAGTACTGGGGCTTGAACTCAGGGCCTACACTTTGAGGCACTCCACCACCCCTTGTTTCAAGATAGGGTCTCACGAACTATTTGCCTATTCTGGCTTTGAACCTTGATCCTCCTGATCTCTGCCTCCTGAGTAGCTAGGATTATAGGTATGAGCAATGGCTCTTGGCAAGACCCCATTTTATAGGAGACAACCCAGCCAAGGTGGTTTCCAGTGACAGTTTCAGAGGGATTATTAATAAGTTTAAGGTCCTGAACTTTGGGCCCTAGAGAGGAGGTGGTGATGGAGGTCAATTTAATCGAATCAGTATCATAGGGATTATCATTGCTTTTATATAAATGGAACAAGGTAAAGAAAGAGAAGTAGTTCCATATGGGTCTTTGTGATTTCTTGCATCCATAACCTGGTCTATTAATTAGGATTTTTATCAGTTGAGAGACACAGAAATGCAGCTGAAATCAACTTAAACATAATTGGGAATTTGTTGACTCTTTTGAGATGTTCAGAAGGTTATTATTGTTGCATCAGTCATGTCTGAGGCCAGAACCTCAAATTATTTCTTCTGAATTCAATCTCTCTCAGCTTTGGGTTTCTTACTTTATTAGCTTCATTTTTTTGGTGGAGGGTTGGATACTAGAGTTCAAACTCAGGGCCTATACCTTGAGCCACTCCACCAGCCCAGCCCTTTATATGTGATGGATTTTTTTTGAAATAGGATCTTGGGAACTATTTGCCTGGGCTGGCCTCGAGCCACAATCCTCCTGATCTCGAGCCACAATCCTCCTGATCTCTGCCTTCTGAGTAACTAGGATTACGGGCGTGAGCCACTGATGCCAGGCGTATTAGCTTCATTTTTATAAGCAAGCTCTCACTAATGGCAGAGATAGTTGCCAGATACCCTGGTTTCTGTCTCCTGTCAACTATCTGACCCTAGGTGAAAGAGTTCTGTTGATAGCTTCAGTAGAAGTCCTAGGAATCACTGTCACCATCCTGGCTTGGGTTACATGTCCACTAGGAACCAGGGTATGATTCCTAAAGGAGATTTGTGTTATTTACAGAACATAGGATGCTAGGAAGGCAAAAATAGTAGGTTCCCACTATATGCTGACTGCTGGGAAACTCCCAGTTAAAGCAATACTTTAATCCACCAAGCATTTTATTGATTTGTTATATGTAAGGAATCGTGCCTGTTGTTATATCAGATATAGAAATGAACATAAGTTCGTACTTTTGAGGAACTTTTAATCAAATACAGGTTTAATATTTCTTCTCCAAAATGGCTTGGGACCAGAAGTGTTTTGTATTTCATTGGGCTTTGGAACATAATGAAATATCTTGAGGATGGTCTCCTAGTCTAAACATGAAATTCATTTATGTTTTGTATACATCTTATACACATAACCTGAGGGTAATTTCATACAATATCTTTGATTCACCTGCATTTTAACTGTGACCTATACCACATGGGGTCAGGTATAGAATTTTCCATTTGTGGTGTCATATTGATGCTCAAAAAGCTTTTAAGTCAGATGTGGTAGTACACGTCTGTAAATCCCAGCACTTAGGAAGTGGAGGCAGGAAGATCAAGTTTGAGACCAGCTGGGGCTTCATAATGAGGCCCTGTCTCAAAAATAAAAAAAACACGATCAAAAAGTATTGAGCTGTGCGCTGGTGGCTCACACCTGTAATCTTAGCTACTGAGGAGGCAGAGATCAGGACTGTGGTTTTAAGTCAGCCCCAGGCAAATAGTTCTTGAGCCCCTGTCTTGAAAACATCTATCACATAAAGGAGCTGGCGGAGTGGCTCAAGCAGCAGAGCACCTAGCAAATATGAGGCTCTGAGTTCAAACTCTCGTGCTGTCAAAAAAAAAAAGTTTGAATTTTGGAGCATTTCAGATTATGTAGGCTCAACAACTTAGTTTTAGGAAGTTGTCCTGTACTTTAGCTTGTACTTGTCCAATCAAGGCCTCTTCGGTACCTCATTTCTTTTCTACTTTTAATTACATTTTTCTATGGTGTTAGGGATAAAACTCAGGATCTTGTACATGCCAGGTAAGTGCTCTGTCACTGAGGTATATCCCTGTTCCTTTCCACCTTTTAAAATTGAACAGTCTGTTTCTAAATTCCTGAGAACTATCTGACTTGGCTTATCTAGGATACCACAGGTTGGTGGCTGGTCTATGGATTGGCTGCCTTTGTATCAAGCGCCCACTCTTCATCCATTAGTGCATCGGTTGGATGCACACGGGAGACTTTAGACATTCTTCACTGACTTCTTTGGGTTTGACATTTGGGAGCCCAAAGCAGAGGCATGGGCAGCATTGTTGTTCTTTGGAACCTTACTGTCCTGAATCTCTCCTCTTTATCTACATCACCACGAAATTCAGGCTCTCACTACCTCTCTTTCGTGGACGTTCTTCCTATCTCCAGTCTCTCCTCTTTTGACACAGTGATTCTAAAAGAGAATTTTCAGTGACTTCTTATGGCCAAAGACCATACTCCTTACATAAGACTTTTCAGTGCTGGTGGAGTAGCTCAAGTGGTAATGTGTCTGCCTAGCAAGTGCAAGACCCTGAGTTCAAAACCCCGGTACCACAGAAAGAGGAAAACAAAGAGAAAAAGAATGTTCATGGCCTAGCCTTTGCTTGCTTCTCCAGACTTGAGTCTTGATACTCCCTTCCTTGTACCCCTCAGGTAAGCCTTTCTCTGACTCATTTGCTACTCTCTAAACCCATTGAGGCTTAATTCCCTAAAGGCCTACTCTCCCAACACCTAGTTAACTCTTGTTGTCCCTCAGCACATTTCTGGTGGCACCTAGTCCTGGAAAACTTCTCAAAACAATCCTTCTTTCAGCCTGGGTTAGTTATCTCCATCTTTTGTTCTCATAAGACTTGGTGCTTACTCCATCAAAGTATTTATCGCTTCATATTTTACATGTATGCCTTTGCAGTGGCTCCTCCCCTTAGAATTAAGTTTCTTCTCTTTTCTTTTTTTTTTTTTTTTTTTTGTGGTACTGAAGTGCTCTACCTTTGGGCAATGCCCCCCAGTCCTTTTGCTTTCTAGTTTGTTTTTTCAGGTAGGGTCTTGTACTTTTGCCCTGGCTGGCCTCAGAAGACAATCCTCCCATCTCTACCTCCCAAGGAGTTAGGATTACAGATTTGCACCACCATGCCTGCATTGTTTTTGAAATGGGGTCTGCATAACTTTTTGCTGAGCCTTGTCTCTGACTGTGATCCTCCTATCTCCACCTCCCAAGTAGCTGAGATTACAGGTATGTACCACCACACCACACCCCAGAATTAAGTCCCTTCAGTTAGCTTTATTTTCCCCCAATGACTGGCACATGGATCTTGGCAATGAGTTCATGTCACTACATATCTGTAGGCTTTTTCTGAACTGGCCTCTTTTTCCTTCTGTTTTCCTTCCAGGACCTGGGTTTCAGTGATGAGACATGGGGTATGATGTAACCCGTTTCCAGGGGGATGTTGATGAAGACCTTATCTGCCCTATTTGCAGTGGAGTCTTGGAGGAGCCAGTACAGGTGAGTTAATTTGGTTGCAGGTTTGCTGGGGCAACACATAGCAGTAACTAGCAGAAAGTATTCGTGAGGAAAGAGGGAGGTCACTGTATTCTGCTCCCCTTCTTTGCCCCTAATAGAGGTTTGCTACAAAGGAACAGTGGCCTTCCAGAGCCTCTCTAGAGAAGGATGCCACTGATCCCCTGGTTCAGATTTTGTTGTGAGGTCACTGAGATTTTTCTGCTGTAAAATGGTCAGCTTCCTGTTTCTTCTAACAGTGGTTTAGTAGCCTTAGTAACTGTAGTTCCTACAGGAACTCTGACTAAGTTCTGTCTTCTTGTCCATGATTGACCTTCTGGTTCTCCTGATAAATTCTCTTTGCATTTTGATGATGTAATGATTCAGGTTTCCAGCAGTCTCTCTGCAGGCTTCTTTTACCTGTGTGTAATCTAACACATAGTAAGTGGGGAACTATCTTTACTGACCCATTTTCTTCCTGGGATTTTGTTGGAAATACCAGTTTTTGATGCAGCCATGCATACTCCATTTTGATATGAAAGCTGCCAACTTCCTTAGGTCAGTGGGTCATTTCATTCTTTTTTTTTTTTTTTGGTGGGACTAGGGTTTGAACTCAGGGCTTCGTGCTTGCAAAGCAGGCACTCTACTGTGTGAGCCACACCTCCAGTCCATTTTACTCTGGTTATTTTGGAAATGGGGTCTCACAAATTATTTGCCTGGGCTGAACCACAGTCATCCTAATCTCAGCCTCCCAAGTAGCTGGGATTACAGATGTGAGCCATTGGTGCCCTACTTCAATAGGTCACTTGCAGAACTTGCTAGACCAGTTGTATCTTCCTGGGGCAGGTTTGAAGAAAAGTCAGGATTACCAGGCAAATAGTGAGTAAGGTGAATCCTTAACAGTTGTACTCATGGACCATCATCTTACATGATCCTAGTGCCCTCATTCTGTAAGTACCAGTTAGTTCTCAGCTACTTCTGGACAGCTAGAAATAATAATTCCATTTTCCAAACTAGACACTAGTCTATGCATTCTTATTTGATGCTTGCATAACTACCAGGGCTTCCCGTGGAGCCTTTAGGTTTATTCTTTTTTTCCAGTTTTAAATCACTCAAAGGAGCACAGATATTTGAGCTAAATAAAGTTCAGACTACACTCCAGTAAAAGCTAGCTCTGGACCCAAATCTCCTTTTTGGGCCTTTGCAGCCTACTGCCATTAGAGGCATATTAGCAGGTTAACCTGGTAGTGTCAAGAGGTCATGGGGGCTGGGTATCGATGGTTCATACCTATAATCCTAGCTACTCTGGAGGCAGAGATCAGGAGGATCACAGTTTGAAGCCAGTTCAGGCAAATAGTTCTCGAGACCCTATCTCGAAAAAACCCATCACAAAAAAGGGCTGCTGGAGTGGCTCAAGGTGTAGGCTCTGAGTTCAAGCCCCAGTATAGCCAAAAAGACAAAAAAAGAGGTCATGGGGTGTGTCAGGTTCCTTCTTCACCCTTGCAGTGCCTTCTGTTTGCTGATACTGTCATTTTGGGGTGAGTCACTTGTGGAGAGGTGAATGGTAGTTGGTGACAGTCTAAGTTGGAATCCACCTATTCACCTCCAAGGTTTACCTTCTGAGGAATAGGCCAGCAACCTTTGTGATACCAGGCACGTTTTCAAGGGTAGAAGGCCCTGCTAGGTATGCTGATTTCCTCTATTTATTTATTGTGGTATTGGGGCTTGAACTCAGGGCCTACACCTTGAGCCCCTCCACCAGCCTTTTTTTGGGATGGGTTTTTTCGAGATAGGGTCTCAAGAACTATTGCCTGGGCTGGCTTCAAACCGTGATCCTCCTAATCTCTGCCTCCTGAGTAGCTAGGATTACAGGCGTGAGCCACCAGTGCCTGGCTATTTATTTTTTTGAATAGGTAATATGGCTAAGAAATCAAAATAATAAAAAAGATTCTGTAAAAACTCTCATTTCCATCATTGTCTCTGTCTACCTAGTCTTCCCATTAATAACTAGTTTTTTATTTTTGGCAGTACTGGGGTTTGAACTCAGGGCCTCATGCTTGCTAGGCAGGCCTTCTACCACTTGAGCCACTCCACCAGCCCTGGTAACTATTTTTATTAGTTTATTTGATATCCCTCCAGTGAGTATCTAGGCAGCTGAAAGCACATGTATGGGGGTGGGGCCCCACTTTTCTTATACAAAAGGTAGTATGTGTGTAAACTTTTGCAGCAGTGCCAGGGTTAGATAGGATGGTCATGAAAGAGGTGACAGTTGAGCCAAGACCTGAAATGTAAGGGGCCTTCATGATAAAATCTAGAGGAAGGAAGAGCATTCATTTCAGGTATAGGGGAATATTAAAAGCAAAATTCCTGGGGCAGGAATGAGCTGAGTATGGTGAAGGAACAAAAGGAAAGGCAAAATGGCCTGAATGCCTCTAGAAACATGGCATAAGGTGAGGAAAGATCAAAGGCACACTTCCAGATCAGACAGTTTTATACATCCTGAATAGGAATTTAGATTTATCATAAATACAATAGGAAACCATTGTTTTGTTTTGTTTTTTCCACATTGCTGGAGATCAAACCCAAGCCCTCATGTACTAGACAAGTACTCTACTGCTGAGCTACACTCCCAACCCCATTGTAAATTTTTTTTTGCCGTACCTGGGGGGTTGAACCCAGGGCCTTGCGCTTGCTAGGCAGGTGCGCTACCACTTGAGCCACCACCAGCCCTATTTCGTGGGTTTTTTTTTTTTTTTTTTTCCAGTACTGGGCTTTGAACTTAGGGCCTACACCTTGAGCCACTCCGACAGCCCTTTGTTGTGATGGGTTTTTTCAAGATAGGGTATCACAAACCATTTGCCTGAGCTGGCATAGAACCACAGTCCTCCTGATCTCTGCCTCCTGAGTAGCTAGGATTACAAGTGTGAGCTACCAGCACCCAATTATGTTGGATATTTTCAAGATAGGTTTCAAGAAGTATTTGCCTGGAGCTGGCTTTGAACCACAATCCTTCTAATCTCTGCTCCCTAAGTACCTAGGATTATAGGCATGAGCCACTGGTGCCAGCTTAATTTTGGTTTTTTGACACAGGGTCTCACTATGTACCCCAGGCTGGCCTTGAATTCTCCCTTCTCCTTGCCTCAGCCTCCCAAGTGCTAGGATTATAGGCTTGTACAACCATGCCCAGCTCTATTTTGCTTTCTCTCTCTCTCTCTCTCTCTTTTTGGTAGGACTGGGGTTTGAATTCAGGGCTTCACACTTACAAAGCAGGTGTTCTACTGCTTGAGCCACACCTCCAGTCCATTTGATCTGGTTATTTTGGAGATGGGATCTACTCAAGCTGGCCTGGAACCATGATCCTCCTGATCTCAGCCTCCCAAATTGCTAGGATTATAGTCATGAGCCACTGGTGCAGAGCTTGTTTTGCTTTCTACATTGAACTTTTGTCAGTAAATCTCTACCCTTGCCCCTCTATATCTGGGTCTGAATCACCTTTTAAGACCTATATCAAATTTGGCCCCTCTGTGAACACCACTTAGGTCAACCTAGCCTAGAAAGGTCTCATCTTCCTCTGGACATTTTTGGTGATTATTATGTAAGCAATTGAATTGGCAGTTAATAATTGCCTTACATCATCTCTCTTATTGTCCTGGAATGTGATTTATATTTCTTATTGTTATATAACTTTTTATTTGTTTGTCTTGTCTATTTGTGATCTGGAGCATAAGAAACATATCTTAAGCCTGACCCCAAAATGCTTTGCCCATAATACACCTACAATTTGCCATGACCCCCAGAGACCTCTGGTCCTCAAAGCTGCTCAGATGCTTGATTGGCTGTTTTGTTATCATACCCAGATACATAGCTCCTGCTAATTCCCTTGTGTCCCTTTACCCCTGCTCTACCTTCTAGGCACCTCACTGCGAGCATGCTTTCTGCAATGCCTGCATCACCCAGTGGTTCTCTCAGCAGCAGACGTGTCCGGTGGACCGTAGCGTTGTGACGGTCGCCCACCTGCGCCCAGTACCTCGAATCATGCGGAACATGCTGTCAAAGCTGCAGATTGCCTGTGACAACGCTGTGTTTGGCTGCAGTGCCATTGTCCGGCTTGACAACCTCATGTCTCACCTCAGCGACTGTGAGCACAACCCGAAGCGGCCTGTAACCTGTGAACAGGGCTGCGGGTGAGATTCCTTCCCTTGGGCCCTGTATGGATAATGGGCTTCCTTCCAGTTTATTTATACTCCTGCCTCTGGATGGTGTGCTCACTAGCTGAAGTGGTCTCCTGTGCATTTAGGCAAGGAGTGTTCCTGACCTTTTGAGCTCTCTGCCCCAAGATCTCACTTTCTTGCTGATTTTCCATCTAGGATCTTTTTGCTCTTGCTTTGATAAAAGAGGACAGCAATCTGTGTGATAACACTAAAGACCAATTCACTTTTTCTTACCTTTTAGTCCAATACTACTTTTTGTTTGTCAGGCTAACTGCTCTAATTTCCAGCCTTCTCATATTTCCTTTCACCCTATTTTTTCTTTCTGTGAGGTATGAAATAGTTTGATTAAATGGTAAGAGGACAGTGAATCTACGGCTTCCCAGAAGGAATAAGTGCACAAGCAGAATCTGTAGAAAAGAAGGATATTGGAGGCCAGGTGCCAGTGGCTCATGCCTGTAATCCTAGCTACTCAGTAGGCAGAGATCAGGAGGATTGTGGTTCGAAGCCAGCCAGGACAAATAGTTTGTGAGACCCTATCTCAAAAAATCCCATCACAAAAAAGAGCTGGTGGAGTGGCCCAAGGTGAGGCCCTGAGTTCAAACCCCAGCACTGCACAAAAAAAAAAAAAGGATAGCCATGTGGCTGATTGCCGATAAAACATTGTCTTTTCTTGTCCTGGTCTATGCTTTTCATGCTCCCTGTGTGCAATTCTAATAAAGTAGTCTAGTAGGACACATAGCAATCTCCCTCTCATTTTAAGAGGACTATCCTAAGAATAGGGCTAGCTTTATTTATTTATTTTTTGTGGTACTGGAGTTTGAACTCAGGGCCTTGCACTTGCTAGGCAGATGCTATACCACTTGTGCTGCTACCACTTGTGTCACTCTGCCACCCCAAAATGGCTAGCTTTTAAAGGCATGAGAAAAATAAAAAAAATAAAAAAAAATAAAGGCATGAGAGGTGCTGGGCGCTGGTAGCTCATGCCTATAATCCTAGCTACTCAGGAGGCAGTGATCAGGAGGATCATGGTTTTAAGCTAGCCCCAAGCAAATAGCTCTTGAGACCATATCTCAAAAAAAACCCCATCACTTTGTTTTCATTTACTTATTGATCTCTTTAATATGTTTGGTAAAATTTTTATTTTTTTCAAATTAAAAGTATCCTTTGAAAAATGAAAAAAAAAAAAAATCACAAAAAGAGGGCTGGTGGAGTGCCTCAGACAGTAGAGCACCTACCTAGCAAGTATGAGGCCCTGAGTTTAAACCCTAGTTCTGGAAAAACAAAAAACAAAAGGCACTGAGAGGAAAATCTATGAGAAAGATAAAATAAAAAACCCACAACACTGAGTTTTGAAGGGTGAAAGTTCAGAGAAAGTAGTGAAGGGGCAAAGATGTTTGGGAGAAGAAAGTGAAAGGAGTAAACACAGGAAGGCCTGAAATGAATGTTAGAAATATGGGGTAGGAAAGAGCTCACTCAGCAACTTTCTGCCACAGAATACACCATTAGCCCACATGTCCCATTCAGTCTGTTCTGCTCTTTCCCTACCCTGGACTGCAGCCTGGAGATGCCTAAAGATGAGCTGCCAAACCACAATTGCATTAAGCACCTGCGCTCCGTGGTACAACAGCAGCAGACACGCATCGCAGAACTGGAGAAGACGTCAGCTGAACACAAACACCAGCTGGCGGAGCAGGTAGGGCCCAGAGAACATGGGGGAGAACATGTCCATCATAGTCAAATAACTGCTGAACACTACTGTGAACCACAGGTGTGTGGTGTGTTTGTGAGCCAGGGTGGCAGATGCTCTGCCTGTGGCTTAGTAGGGAATAATACTGGAGCTCTCCTCCTTTATCCCATTCATGTTATTCATTCACCTAACATTTATCAAATGCCTTCTCTTAGCTCTTTGCTAAGCAGAGGGGAGACAGCGGGGAATGAGACAGTCCTATCTCTGTCTTCCTGGAGAAGCATATAGTCTGGTATTTCTCAAGTTTGTGCTGCCCACATTCTCAGATAAGCTCTTGTCCTTTTTTTTTTTTT